ACATCAATGTGTATGCATAATATAGAGGTGAAAGGACAGCTTTTGAGTAGAAGCCACAAGATAGATAGATAGATAGATAGATAGATAGATAGATAGATAGATAGATAGATAGATAGATAGATAGATAGATAGATAGATAGATAGAAACAATAAACCCGCAACATCACTCTGGATCAGATCATAACAAGGTTCTTTCTGGTGTGTTTGCTGAAGGGTGTATAAACTTTTGCAGGTTGGTTTTCTGCTGCAGCACTTTAGTTGCTCTTGGGGAAAAAAAACTAAGCAAGGTCAAACTTGGTATCTTCTGAGATGGAAAACTGCCTGGAAATACCAGGTCCATAGGCTGAACTGGGAAGTAAAAAAAATAAATAAATGAATTCTGAAAGCAGCAATCGTAAACCACTTCTATACTGCTGCCAAGAAAACTATGTGAACATGCTCTTGAAGTCCCCAGAAATCAATCTCGATGCAAGGGAGCCATTCTGTTAAATTAATTACAGTAAATATGATTATTTCCCATGTGTTTAATATCTATTTTCTTCTATCACATGAACAATTAAGTTTGGTGACCATTTTTAGAGGGGGTCTGAAGGCCGTACATGTGGCTTTCAGGAGCACAAGCAGCCAAAATTGTGCTACAGGTTTATTTGTTGATAAATAGATGTTTAGTGCTACTAAACATAATGTATTCACTGTACAGTGTGTATTTATTCCAGATGGAATTGACAGTTTCTTGTTCAAAACAAATGGGATGAAAATCCAATCACATTCTTATGTAAATGGTCATCACTCAGCTTAGCAAGAAAGATATGTGATACCTGGGCTGTTCTGTTTCTCCCTCTCTGGAGACCACCGTGTGTGAGCTAGCAGCAGAATGTCCAGTGCTACAAAACGCTACACTTTTAAAATGGTAAAAAAAAAATAAAAAGGGTCTGGTGATCGAGGTCATTTGGCTCTTGGGATAAAGCTTTTTAATTTGTTGGAAGTGCTGAGGTAAGTGCTTAGCTTAAAATCACATCATAACTATCATTTCAGGGTCCCCTTCATGCAGATTTCTTTGCCAGCTTTAGAGTTCTGAATTAATTCAGCTTGTTTGTGAAATGAAACCAATATAATAAAGATGCAATTTGCGAGTGTGACCAGCTAAGGTTGTGCCTATTGCTTCATTCCTCAATCCAAACTAGTCCGAGATGCAAAATCTGTAACAGGATTAAATATTTTAAGATTAACAAAAAGTTATGGGGTCAAATACATATATGCCAACCTCCCTCCATCCCATTTTAAAGGGAGACAGGGAGAATTTTGTTTGCTTTGCATTTTCAAGCAAATAAATTTCACTCCTATCTCTTGGACCATTATATGTTTCGGAACAGTTAAATTTTTCACTTCTCCGAATTTGGTGATGTAGTGTGGGCATCTATTAAGGTAAGCCGCACAGGAAAATACATGTGTTTGAGGACACTGCATACAAAATGAACGTGCAAGAAAAAATTCAATTCCAAAATAAATGTGAAATTTCAACTTCGGGGGGGGGGGAAGCTTACAGATGCAGAACTGAGATAGAAAAGACTGACTGAATTATTTATCCATAATTCTAACAGGAAATGTTACATCATTTGGGGGATTTTCTTTTAATTTGTACATTAAAACTGGATTAGTTAATAAACAAAATAAGACTCAGCCTGCAATATATTGTTGACTATCAACTAATTTCTCTATTCAAGTTAGACTTTATGTTAATTTATAGCCAGACTTTATAGTTAATTTCCAAAAGACAAGGAATTGGGAACAAACTAGAGTGTTCATACTTTACGGAGGACAGATCTCTATTTGAAGGACTCTTGAACTTTCTGCTTGAGGTTGATTTCTAAAAACGACCTAATCCAAATCTACATTAAAGGTAAAAAACTGAAAGATCAGGGATCATGAATATAACCATCAATATTTCATCCCTGTCTATAAGCTTCTTTTGATCACAGTCTTTCCAAGTTTGGTATTTCTATTTAAATTATAATAAAGATGCCAAATCATTATACAATAATTACACTAAAATACAGAAATCTACATTTTCTGCAGGGTGTGTATGTTTTTAAGTGATGCATTTTGTCTTTGGGACAATTTGTAAATGGCCACTGTGGACCGTGTACAAAAAATATAAAACTAATGGAGTGCCTTGGCAACCACAAAGTCCTAACTCACTAAAGCCATATTGCGTGTTTTAGAATGTTGATTGAATACAGACTATAGGTCAGTTTATCATTAAGGCAGAGAACTTTAACCATAGCCTGTAAGTCACATGTTTTAATTTCAGTTACATTACCTAAATGTGGTCCATCTTGCAAACTGAACCTAATTCTTGTTTCCACTAGCTGTTATTGATCTGTCAAGGACAACCTCTTGAAGCAACCATTAACCCAAGCTATTCAAACAAGATTCTCTACTGCTCCAGTGCCTTCACCATCTATGAGCAAATGGGGAAGAGGATTAATTGAGGTCATGAAGGGGAAAAAGGACAATCTAGCTATTCCCCATAGTGTATGGCTCCAACCTAACAGAAAAAAAAATGGTGTCCCAATGTCAGATGAAAAGAAACCCAGGACATGCAGGAGACAAACCACCCCAAAGGCAATAGGGATATCTGGCTTCAGTGGTAGAAGAAGTGGATCTACTGGTGGGGTGATTAACAATTGGCAGGAGAGACCTCAACTATCTCTAATGCTGAGCTAAGTTCAGGATGTTATACAAACTTGGTCACTGAAAGTTTGCTTACCTGAGTTGTTCTGAAGAGGGTCTCCATGCCATGAATAAGAAGGAAACTCTCTCTCCCAGAGCGGACATTGGTGATGTGCTTGAGACAAAGCAAAAGACCCCTCCGGATTAGAATGTAGTTATTGGAGGTGTCTCGATGATGCCAATCCTGATACAGCCGGAGCAGTTGACAAACATAACCTCTGTGTACGGCTCGGCGACTATTAGATTCTGAAAGCAAAGTGCAGGGTGATTGAACAGCTACCGGAAACACGTGCAGATGGGCACATTTCTATTATCAGACATTGTAATGAGTGGGAAAATTCTACTTCAAAAGGTTCAGGTTAATGGAAAGGTAGCTGAGTTGTCCACCCAGGTGATGGGCAGAAACAACAGAAACTTGGGAAAATCAAATGCCAAGAAGCCAATCAGGAGGTTGGGTTTCCCTTCCCAGGTGAACTCTTAAAAAAGGAGAGAGTGGCTTCCATATTGCATCTTTGACTTTAATTTGGGGCATTGTGTTTTCTCTTCCAAAGCTGGCTGAATTTGGATGGCAAGTTAGGATCTGTGACACTATTTGCAGAATAGATCCTGTTGTATTTGATGGACTAGAATCAGAATTGTGCAAACTTGTTGTGCTACGTGTGTTGGTCTGAATAAAGATTTAAAATTCAATCAATGAGGGTGCTCATTCTTGGAAATGGATGTGTTTCTCACGAGCTTCCCTGACAAATCAAGCTACTGAAGGAACAGTGTAGCCGCTGACCTCCTCCCTGGAAACTAAGTGGCAGAGAAGATTTCTAGACTAAAGTAGCTAGTTAATACTCACCAGGATTGTGGAAAAATGCATTAAGATTGTGGGATGAAAGTGTGAAGACCTCTTACAGGATTCAGTGAATGCCCAAGCCTGCCCACTCTGTGCAGGCACCCATTACAGATGTTAACATCTATCTAGTTCAATTTGACATACATGCACCATTTTAGAACCCCAGCAAAATTCTATTTGGTATCTCTCTTTTCCACAGGAAACTGTTAATTGTGGCCACTATTGCTCCCTCACTCAGAAAGCTTCACTATGCATAAAATGTAAAGATGCCTTAAGCCAGGGTCAAGTCCATCTCCGTGCAGTTTTTTTTTTTTGGCAGCAGTACAGATGTTCTTACCATTGCCTTCTTCCAAGATGGTTTTTCAAATTCCCAGTCTTGTCCATAACTCTAGAACTCTCTAGCAGTTTGTCCAAATGGACCATGCTTAGCTCCTGAGCACAGATAGGTTCAACCAGAAGCTGCCCACAGCTGTACTTGGGCTTTTAAGTTTGTTCCCATTCATCATGGGAGTTCAGCATTCATTAATACCATACTAAATAGCCAGTCAAGTGGTCACCTTTAGAAGAGAGGAGATGGAAGTGGCTCATGCCATTCCAAACATGGACAAAAGATTTTTTTTAAAGCAATAACCCAACACAATCTCTTTGTCCCCAAAGGGTTAGGGGACAAATCTTTCCTTAATCTTTCATGAGTACTCCATAGAGGCAAAACATTGGAAAAGTTGCACACAAATTATCATGTTTATGGATATTTTCATCACCTATAGAAAAATGCACAATCTGAGGTTCCTGAAAAATTTAAATTGAGTGCATATTTAGATTTGGTTCTAACTCCACCCATTTCTGCATCCTGAACTCACTCATTCTTAAGAGCATGGCACCCAGCATGTCAAGTGCAATCCCCAGACAGAAGGATGTTATAGTACTGTATACCCCCACCCTTCTCCCCTTTTGCCAAAAGTCCAGAAAATCCTGGTCAATGGCAGTGACACCATGTCAGCAGAACTCAGAGACAAAGAAGAACCTGTTTGCTTTGCAAATATTTAGAAAGGGATTCCAACTTGCATTTGCAAGCCACTGTTTTAAAGAGCCATGACATCTTGCATCTTGACATAACACATTGTTATTGTGAGTTGCCCAGAGTTGTGTTTTAAGATGGGTGGCTGTACAAATTTTATAAAGGAGGGAAGGAAGGAAGGAAGGAAGGAAGGAAGGAAGGAAG